CGGTGGCTTCGCGGTTATTATTTGCAGAAGCATAACGCCGAATGATAACATCAGACTTCACTCCCAGCAATCCTGTCTGCTGATATTCGGGGTCGATATAACAGAAGTTCCACGCTTGAAGTCATTCGATATTGAGTTACAGAGTCGGTTACTGATGGAGGAACCAGCCTTGCCAAACCAACATCACTATCTTGCTAACGTAATTACGATCAAGTAGAATGTTTCGGGTTTTAAGTCGCGGTGACTAGTGGTCGGCTTGGACTGGTGCAGAAAAAGTAGCGCAGTCCCGATTTCCGCAGCTATTCGGAATCTTTCTTGCCATGGAAGAACAGGACTCCCCCTCTGCAGAATAGCCTGTCTAAGCCCCATTAGCCATGTATTCGTACACTAGGCAACCATATTCCGGGCAAGCTCCTAGAAGAACCATGTTTGGATGTCGTATGTTGCATAATCTTCAACCGCACATCGAATATCAATCAATCAACAATTACATGATCAATCAACTCATCATTATATATTTTTAAGTTGGTTTCTTACTTCTTGCTGAAATTGTGATCGTCCTTGCGCGGCGTCTGGGGCGAAGAACTTTTACTGCCACAGTGTATGATCAAAATTACATTTGAATACTGGACCGTAACCGCCTTCTCCAATCTTACGAGAACTGCGAAATTGCAGTTGCTTTTTCGATCTCCTCGATTGTGTACTTCCGGTACCTGGGGTCACATACTCAACCAGTCTCAGCTCTTTCCCTACATTCATCTCGGCATTCTTCCTCTTTCTGCTTCGAGTTGTCCAGTTTCTGAGCTGCTTCGGCTGCCTCAAGAGCTGCCCTGCACTTTGCTTTCTCCTTCATGCAAGTGTTAATGCAGCTTCCTCAGCATGCGGGCCTCTTCAAATCTCTGGTGTTTCTTCATTCATGCGTTGAAATTCCCTAGCCTGTCATCATATTATCAATCCTAAATACATCATCAAATTAATATAAAAGAAAATTCCCTTTTTCTTTTCGTACCGTATGTTTTGCAGTGAGTGCTTCTTGCAGGCTGCACTGTACATATCCATTGTTTGCTTCAGCTCTAGCCTTAGCCTTCTCATCTGCTTCTACATCTTCCTATAATTTTAACAATTGGTTTTAGGAATTTTCAGAAAGAAGTTCAGTTCATCAAGAATCAAATGATTTTTATTCTTACGGCGGATGAAGACTGCGATGACCATGACATACTATTTACACTTCCTTGGCAGCTTGATGATACATCATACAAGAATTCATATCTGTCAACTTTTTTATCAAGAGCGACCCTCTGGGGCTCATGTTTGTCGACTCTGAGCGCTTGAAAGATGAGGAGCATAGAGCTCTGAGCTGTTTGAAAAATGCGGAGCATAGAGCTCTGAGCTGTTCGAAAACGAGAATCCATCCTAATCCAAAGGGACAGGGTCATGTAAGATGGAAACATCCGATCATATGGTCTTCCACTCTCACAAATGATATGTCTGAATCCGTTATTGAAGGCTCATCTTAGGGGCTGAAGCTCTACCAAAAGGTGACCTGTTCAATGCCCTTACATTAATTTCTATTCTTCAATTTCATAACAACAATCATGAATTACTTATGCTACTTACCTGATTCCATATCTTTCGAAGCTACGGATTGAAGTTGTGACACTCGGGTCCTGTAATAGGATCGCAAAATGTAGTTGAATTAATTAGGAGCAACAATAAAATGTAAATTATGTGTAGGGTTTTTATAATGAACAAACCTGCATATCTTGGTGAGGTGTAGAAGTGATTCAATTGGATCAGAATGTGGCTGAGCTGGGCTGTAATTGACTATGACTATGAGCATGGGGAGGCTGTTTAGCCGGCGGCGGTGGCATGGTAGCTGATCGTACTGATGAAATCTTTCCTTTTGCAATCACATACACATGCAAAAGGCCGGTGCCCCTTTGGTACACTAGTCGGAACATCTGGGGTTTTGAATCTTCTGTGAAAAAAGAATCACACAATTAGGAGTCTTGAATTACATTACATTGGCAATAAAATTTTCATTTTTGGGGGTATGATTTTACTTGACCAACTGCTCCTGGATGATGCTCCAACTACTAAAGTCTCAATCGAATATACGAAACATAGTCGATTAAAGCTTTTGATACATCCATATCCTCCAATACCACTTCAGTGCATTTTATCTGTTTTAATCAACGCAGGATTAAAATTATACAGGTGAGTATGACATGAATTTGAAAATATTAACAAACTGAAACATACATCTTTTCGCGAGCAAAAGCAACGAAATGGTAAACATTTCTTTGGTATGATTGTCAACTAATTTTATATTTGGTCTCCCAACTCATCGTAACATTAGACATAGAAACAGCCCCAGCTGCAGACAAAATCAAAATAATTAATTGAGAAAACGATACCCACCCAACTCTGCAATCTTTAACATAAAAACTCATGCTAAAATCTGAACAATAAAATGGAGTGTCTTACTTTTTTGATTAACATGAATAAGTGTAAGAGATTGGCCTCTCGAAGAAGACGATCAACTGCCCATTTAAAGCATATTGGTCCCTTTATCCTTGTCTATTGCTACTGCTACACTTCTTCTCTGCTGTCACGACTTCTCTCGCCATCTTCTCTTCTAGTTTCCGAAAAAAATTAAAATCAAAAGTAGCTTTACCAGACGTTTCAATGTATTGGGATATTGTTGTTGATTATTTTTTTTGTGATTAACTTATATGTGTTCAACTTTATCACAGATTTTTGTTATATTATGTTATCCAACTGTATCACAAACTAACCCAACCATCTTTCGTTAGACCCTCTTGCTAAATACTTAGAATGGTTCAACCCTCGGAAGCAAGGGAATTTTGTTACTGTTGCTAAATGTGCAAAAATTCTTCTAACTTATGTTCAAACTAAAAAGTTCTATAAAAACCACTCCATCTCAACCTGTTAAGCATAACTTTGTGTTACTGCTCTCCCAAATTTGGCTCCTCTCAGTCCATTTTTGTTGTTGTCTGATTGTAGTTACAGCTACACTTCATATTGGTTTCAAAAACTTTTGGTGTAAAACATTTCCTCCTCAAGGTTGAAGAAACTGTCCAACACACTTGAGGGTTTTGGATACTAACACATGCACCAAACAAATTGATTACATTTTCATAATAAATCAATAATGCTAGGTCTATAACTTTTTCTAACAATTTCTGCAACATCCTGTCATTGGTTGGCTCGCAATGGGTAAGCGGACCCTTTTACAAGCAGACGAATGACAATCTACATGTGGGAATTGTAGAAAGAGGTTGTGCACCTAGCATTATTTAATAAAATTTGCTTGATTAAATATTCTTTTTAATTTTTTAATATAATAGAGTATTAATAACGAATTTTATATAAATTATAATTAAATATATATACGATAGTTAAATTATGATTAATGTTATACCAAAATAAATAACATAAATTTAATTAAATTACATCCTTAAAAGTGAATAAAATATAATGGGAGAGAGAGTGTACTAAAAAACGATACTAAAGTATTTTCGAAACAAAGTTTCATTTCTTTTCAGTTTTTATTTCTTCAATTTTTATTAATTAAATAAAAATTGAAAATATATATAATTAGCAAAGGTCTTTCTTGATAAAGTAATCAATTTTTTGGGTGCTATGTTACTATCTCAAACCCTTGGGTGTGTTTATTTTCCTCAAACCTTGAGGAGGAAAATGTGTTGTATAGTGGTTGATAGTTGGTGAGGGATTAGCATGTATAATCCCTCCTAATTATATGGATTTGCGTTAGGTGTGCCATGCCTAAGACAGTCAACTACTGTGCTGGGAGCAGTCAATCTTGATGGAGAAGTTTGTGGATGGTGTGACGCCACATGGAAGGAGCCTGGCCGTCAGATTTGAGAGTAGTTTGTGGACAGATGGCACGCACCCAAGGGCTAAGAGATTCACCCCCACAACAAAAAGTAATAGAAAATTTTATATAGACACAAATGATTGTAATGGTCATAGTAGTAGAAGTTACGAATTTACTGAGGAAACTTGACTATGATTTGGTAAAGAATCTGGTGCGCTTATAAGACTAATGTTTAGCATTGTATCTTCAGCAAGAGCCCATAAATTTTATTAGAAACTGGACAATGTGTCTTCCATTGCCCAGTCATGAACAGCAGGGTCTAATACTAGACAGAAATTCCCCATTTCGATATCTTTTTATTCAATATCTTTTGATGAACCATAAACAAGAAAAAAAATCTGTGAAGTACAAATTCTAAAATATATATATATATATATACCATAAACAAGAAAAAAAATCTGTGAAGTACAAATTCTAAAATATAGAAAATTGAGAAAGAGAATAACTTGCCCTCTTACAGATTCACATTCACCTATTTGAATATTGTACAATTAATGAAGATTTATTTCGCCCTTGTTTATTACTTGAACAACCTTTTAAATTTCTGTCAGCGGATTAGAGTTACTGGGTATTTTTGCTTAAATGCAACTTTGCTGAAGATACTTGATGAGTTGATGATTTTGACTTGGCAGAATTTGACTTTAAAACATCTCGTCACCTGTTTGATTTGGAAAATGCTTTCACCAAAGCGCATCTATGAAGTGTTCTTGTATGATGTTCAAGTGTTGAAGCTATCTTAAGCCCATGTTCAAAGCATTTTTTATGTTAAAATTTCTCCAGAATCTCCCTTTGTATGATTTTGTTTCTTCCTTTTAGTAGATGTTAGATTTACTGCAAGTTATATATCTCATATATATATATATATATATATATATATATATAACTGATGACAGATTTCTGTGGAACTTCATGAGGCATGTGAATGTTATATAAAATCTTCTTTACCAAGCAAATTTGTAGGATTATTGTTGAAATTATTTGGGTGAGTTAAGTGACAGTCATCAAAGCATTATATTGTCTTAAACAAACAAAAAGGAAAGATGCATGCATGCATGTATCTTGAGGGAACAGCTCATGGTAATGTTAATCTTTTCTTCTCCAACTCTTATTTTATTCAATAGCTTTTGATGAACCATAAACATGAAAAAATATCTGTAAAGTACAAATTCTAAAATATATATGTAAATATAGAGCTAACGTTTTTTTGCATCTGAAGTCATGCCTTGATTGGATTGAAGACCACGGTTGAATGGTTTGCAATGTGTAAGCTGAACTGTCCTCCTTTCTCACTCACATCAATCTTCTCCATCTCTGGTGGAGTTTTCATCTCAAAATTGGATACCAATTTTGCGATCACAATCCCCAGAATTGGTAATGCCAGTATGATTCCCGGGCAGCTACGCCTACCCACACCAAAGGGTAAGAATCTGTAATCCACTTTCCCACCAGCAACAGCATCCGTTGCAGATTCTTCTTCCAAGAATCTTTCTGGGCGAAATTCCTCAGGATTTTTCCACCATTTGGGGTTGTTGGCTAGCCACCATGCATTGACTACAACTTTAGATTCCTTAGGAATGGTGAAACCTCCCAGTTTTGCTTCTTCAAGGTTCATATGGGGAACCAGCAGGGGAATTGGGGTGTGCAACCTTAGTGTCTCTTTTACAGTAGCTTGTAAATATGGTAGTTGATGCAGATTTGATTCCATGACTGGATTTCCATTGAGAACCGTCGAGAGTTCATTTCTGATCTTGTGTTGAACTTCAGGATGGTTGACAAGCTCAGCTATTGCCCACTCCATGGACCATAGAGTCGTCTCTATCGCTGCAACATTAATGTTCTCAACAATGTAAAGTACATTCTCTTCACTTATCTCTCCCTTCTTCTCAGCATCAATTATGTGATCAATAGCACATGTTATCTTGTGTTTTTCTCCATTGGCCGCCATCACTTCCCTGCAACAGGTACGAATAATTATATTTTTAGATACATAATATTAGGATTGCAGTTGAAAATTGAATTTGAAAATTTGTGTGTTTATGGGGTTGCCTTAAACAGGTGCTTACCTTCTTTTCTGAACATAGTAGTTGTTAAAGAAAGCCAATCTCCTTTGCTGCAAGTCCCTGCACTTGTTCAAATACCCTCTTAAGAAGGGTCTAAGCAAAGGAATGAAATCTCCATAGTTATACTCAAAACTTTGAGCCAAACGGCTTCTCTCAGAATTGAACTTGGTTGCTTCAATGAACAAAGGGTCTTCTTGTGACTCAAACTTTGCATCAAACATCATCCTATACATGATATTGTATAGCATGAGTTGCAAACGCCTCCTCACAAGAATTCCTTTGCTTCTCACTTTCTCATCTCTTTTCAAGTCATCCACAACAAGGTCCATCTCTTGTTCCCACATATTACTGTAATGGTGCACCACTTTGTTAGTGAAAAATGGCAGTGTCATGATCCTGCGCATTTTGCGCCAATGCTCTCCGTAAACTGTGAACACCATGTCTTGTCCATTGCCTGTAAAAATATCGAAAACAACGTTTCGAGGGCGCGATCCGAATTCCACACCTTGTGTGTGTAGAACTTGGGTAGCAAGCTCAGCGTCTGAAACCACGACCAAATTTTTGGAACCAAGTTTGAGGAGGAATACGGAGCCATAGGTTTGCGCGAGGGAAGCAAGAAAGCGATGGTTGAGGTCATTGCCGACCTGGAGCCAGTTGCCAAAGATTGGAATGGAGAAGGGAGAAGGGGGGAGTTTAATGGAAGATTTGAAAATGGAGTGAAAGAAGTAAAGAAGAAGAGGAAGCAAAGGGAGGGAATAGAAAGATTTGGTGAATGAAGCAAGTAATACTGCAAGAAGAGTAGTAAAGATTGAGATACTAACAAGATTAGCCATAGTTTTGATTATGTTGAGATAAGATGAGAGTGAAGGAGGGAAATGAATTATGTATATAAAGGAGTAATGGGGGTAGGAGGGTTGGTGCCCAATGGTTTTGGGTGAATCTATGTGCTTTTTGTCTAAATCAGGGTAGGAGGATCACTTAACGTTTTTCTATGGTCAATTGTTAGGTAGAATACCTTATACTCATTCAACTTGGTTTCTGGTTCATCTTTAAGTTTGATCTGGTCATGGTTTGGTTTTTTTAATATTATTTTGCTTCCACTGTTAGATTCATAAGCGATATTTTGCAAATGAGAGAGAATAAAATTTAGCGATTATTTCAAATTTCTTTTGTTAAAAAATAAACTCATACGCTTTATTTAGAAGGTAATATAAAACTTGTATAAATATAATTAATTCTCCTAAAAATATCAAAGACTCCTCTAACAAGTACAAAAACCTGCTATAATTATAAAAAATATCAAAAGTCTCTTTAAAACAATAATCAGGAACGTTTTTATTACACTAATTTTATATACAGATAAACAATAATGATTAGACGACAAGGAGGACCCGCTTGATCTTTCTCTCTTCTGGTCAACTCTAATAACATATTTAAATTGTGGTCAAAATTAAACAAAAACCACAATATAATATAACATGCAATAATCCCTTTGACCAAGACTTCATTTTATTCAATCTTTTTTGGCTTGACCTTTTGGGATGAATTACAGGAGCAACCGCCAAATTAGTTCTTTAGCTGATGTACATAAAAAAGCACTTTGAAAAATTTGACTCCCTATAGCTCCATTCATACTCATAATGGGGATAACAGTATCTTTTATTATTAGACACGTTTCTGATTTGATATATATGATTATATTTACAACTTTAACTACTTTTATATTATGGTATAAAATAATTTTTTCTTTTATTAAATTATTACCATATTATTATTATTATTTTTTTTTTTTTTGTGTCATGCTTGTAATTAATTATTTACATCTTAATGATTACTATAATGAAGCAAATTCGATGATTTTTTTTTTTAGTATAAAATTTGAAGTGTGATAATTTTTATAGCATTAATAATAAAATAATTATAATGATAGGAAACTTATCACCGAAAGTGTTAAATATCCCTAAAGTGTTTTTAATAATTTGTAAAGGCGTGTTTGATATTTTTAATAGTTATTTTTTAATATTACTTATGAGCTTTTTTGATAATGATATGAAGATCTTTAATACTTTTTAACGAAGTGGATGACTTTAATATTACAAGGAGGAAAGAAAAAAAAAATTGTAAGGATATGAATGCATAAAAACATATGATTCTTGATTTTCTTTCAAGGAAAATACATCAATGTAATTACAATTTTGTTTTATATTACACTTTAATGTGTATGCTCAAGACTATATTAAAATCTGCACCAACAATGGTGGCTATGCAGATTTCACTTCTACGCTAATCAACCAACTTTGACCCTTTTCTCTCACCTCCATGCCCTGCCAAAATCAGTCAATTTATATATCAATTAATTAATTATGAGTAAATAAAAACTAGAAACTGTACCTGCTAAACATCATGCATTGGACGTGTTCCTCGAACTTTCATATCCATATTTTAGTGATGGAGGGTAACTTAAACGATCCTGACAGTACAAAATATAGAAATCAAAATGATAGAAGATTTATGCAGACACAACTGATTGTGGTACTAGTACAAGTTATGAATTTACTGTGGAAACTTCACTGTGATCTGGTGAAGTACTTGGTGTGCTCATAGGACTAATGCTTGGGATTGTATCTTCGGCAAGGGCTCTCAGCCTGTTAAGCTCAGGCACCACCACTTTGCCGAGATCCGGCCTGTCTTTTCTTCTAAGCTCCACACACTGAAGCGCCATCTTGGCGTATGACAATGTGGCTTCCATCGGCCAGTCTGGAACTGCAGGGTCTAATACTCGGCGCAAATTCCCCATCTGGATTGCGCTTTCAACCTGATGAGCCAATCCCATCGGTGGCTTCGCGGTTATTATTTGCAGAAGCATAACGCCGAATGAGTAAACATCAGACTTCACTCCCAGCAATCCTGTCTGCTGATATTCGGGGTCGATATAACAGAAAGTTCCAGCGGTTGAAGTCATTCGATATTGAGTTACAGAGTCGGTTACTGATGGAGGAACCAGCCTTGCCAAACCAACATCACTAATCTTGCTAACGTAATTACGATCAAGTAGAATGTTTCCGGGTTTTAAGTCGCGGTGCACTAGTGGCTCCGGCTTGGACTGGTGCAGAAAAAGTAGCGCAGTCCCGATTTCCGCAGCTATTCGGAATCTTTCTTGCCATGGAAGAACAGGACTTCCCCCTCTGCAGAATAGCCTGTCTTCTAAGCTCCCATTAGCCATGTATTCGTACACTAGGCAACCATATTCCGGGCAAGCTCCTAGAAGAAGAACCATGTTTGGATGTCGTATGTTGCATAATACTTCAACCTGCACATCGAATATCAAATCAATTCAACAATTACATGTATCAATCAACTCATCATTATATATTTATTAAGTTTGGTTTCTTACTTCTTGCTGAAATTGTGATCGTCCTTGCGCGGCGTCTGGGCGAAGAACTTTTACTGCCACAGGTGTATGATCAAGATTACATTTGAATACTGGACCGTAACCGCCTTCTCCAATCTTACGAGAACTTGCGAAATTGTCAGTTGCTTTTTCGATCTCCTCGATTGTGTACTTCCGGTACCTGGGGTCAGCATACCTCAAACCAGTCTCAGCTTCTTTCCCTACATTCATCTCGGCATTCTTCCTCTTTTCTGCTTCGAGTTGTGCCAGTTTCTGAGCTGCTTCGGCTGCCTCAAGAGCTGCCCTGCACTTTGCTTTCTCCTTCAATGCAAGTGTTAATGCAGCTTCCTCAGCATGACGCGCCTCTTCAAATCTCTGGTGTTCTTCAGATTTCATGCGTTGAAATTCCCTAGCCTGTCATCATATATTATCAAATCCTAAAATACTATCATCAAATTAATATAAAAAGAAAATTCCCCTTTTTCTTTTCGTACCGTATGTTTTGCAGTGAGTGCTTCCTTGCAGGCTGCACTGTACATATCCATTGTTTGCTTCAGCTCTAGCCTTAGCCTTCTCATCTCTGCTTCTACATCTTCCTATAATTTTAATCAATTGGTTTTAGGAATTTTCAGAAAATGAAGTTCAGTTCATCAAGAATCAAATGATTTTATGTTCTTACTGCGGATGAAGACTGCGATGACCATGACATACTATTTACACTTCCTTGGCAGCTTGATGATACATCATACAAAGAAGAATTCATATCTGTCAACTTGTTTATCAAGAGCGACCCTCTGGGGCTCATGTTGTCGTACTCTGAGCTGCTTGAAAGATGAGGAGCATAGAGCTCTGAGCTGTTTGAAAAATGCGGAGCATAGAGCTCTGAGCTGTTCGAAAAGCGAGAATCCATTCCATAATCCAAAGGGACAGGGTCATTGAAAGATGGAAACATCCGATCAATACTTGGTCTTCCACTGCTCACAAATGATATGTCTGAATCCGTTATTGAAGGCTCATACTTAGGGGCTGAAGCTCTACCAAAAGGTGACCTGTTCAATGCCCTTTACATTAATTTCTATTCTTCAATTTCATAACAACAGAATCATGAATTACTTATTGTTACATTACCTGATTTCCATATCTTCTCGAATGCTACGGGATTGAAGTTGTGACACGTCGGGTCCTGTAATAGGATCGCAAAATGTAGTTGAATTAATTAGGAGCAACAATAAAATGTAAATTAGTTGTAGGGTTTTTTATATGAACAAACCTGCATATCTTTGGTGATGTGTAGAAGGTGATTCAATTGGATCAGGAATGTGGCTGAGCTGGGTCTGTAATTGACTATGACTATGAGCATGGGGAGGCTGTTTAACCGGCGGCGGTGGCATGGTAGCTGATCGTACTGATGAAATCTTTCCTTTTGCAATCACATACACATTGCAAAATGCCGGTGCCCCTTTGGTAACACTAGTCGGAACATCTGGGGTTTTGAATCTTCTGTGAAAAAAGAATCACACAATTAGGAGTCTTGAAATTACATTACAACTTGGCATATAAAATTTTCATTTTTGGGGGTATGATTTTACTTGACCAGACTGCTCCTGGATGATGCTCCAACTACTAAAGTCTCAATCGAATAATACGAAACATAGTCGATTAAAGCTTTTGATACATCCATATCCTCCAATACCACTTCAGCGCATTTTATCTGTTTTAATCAACGCAGAATTAAAAAATTATACAGGTGAATATGACATGAATTTGAAGAATATTAACAAACTGAAACATACATCTTTTCGCGAGCAAAAGCAACGAAATGGTAGAAACATTTCTTTGGTATGATTGTCAACTAATTTTATATTTGGTCTCCCAACCTCATCGTTAACATTAGACATAGAAACAGCCCCAGCTGCAGACAAAATCAAAATAATTAATTGAGAAAACGATACCCACCCAACTCTGCAATCTTTAACATGAAGAAACTCATGCTAAAATCTGAACATATAAAATGGAGACTGTCTTACTTTTTTGATTAACATGAATAAGTGTAAGAGATTGGCCTCTCGAAAGAAGACGATCAACTGCCCATTTTAAAGCATATTGGCTCCCTTTATCCTTGTCTATTGCTACTGCTACACTTTCTTCTCTGCTGTCACGACTTCTTCTCGCCATCTTTCTCTTCTAGTTTCCGATAAAAAATTAAAATCAAAAGTAGCTTTAACCGAGACTTTCAAATGTATTGGGATATTGTTGTTGATTATTATTATTATTTTTTTTTTTTTTTGTGATTAACTTATATGTGTTCAACTTTATCACAGATTTTTGTTAATAATTATGTATCCAACTGTATCACAAACTAACCCAACCATCTTTCGTTAGACCCTCTTGCTAAATATTCTAAGAATGGGTTCAAACCTCCTGGAAGCAAGGGAATTTTGTTAACTGTTGCTAAATGTGCAAAAATTCTTCTAACTTTATGTTCAAACTAAAAAGTTCTATTAAAACAAACTCCATCTCAACTCTGTTTAAGCTCAATAAACTTTGTGTTACTGCTCTCCCAAATTTGGCTCCTCTAAGTCCATTTTTGTTGTTGTCTGATTGTAGTTACAGCTACACTTCATATTGGTTTCAAAAACTTTTGGTGTAAAACATTTTCCTCCTCAAGGTTGAAGAAACTGTCAAACACACTTGAGGGTTTTGGATACTAACAAATGCACCCAAACAAATTGATTACATTTTCATAATAAAATCAATAATGCTAGGTCTACAACATTTTATAACAACTTCTAACTTATAGTATACTAAAATAAACGATACTAAAGTATTTTCGAAACAAAGTTTCATATTATTTTTAGTTTTTATTTCTTAAATTTTTATATAATTAAAATAAAAATTGAAAAAATATATATAATTAGACAAAGGTCTTTCTTGATAAAGTAATCAATTTTTTGGGTGCATATGTTACTATCTCAAACCCTTGGGTGTGTTCTATTTTCCTCAAACCTTGAGGAGGAAATTTTTGGAAACCCAACTTTGTGTAGCTAATATACGTTAGGTCCAACTTGTAACATTCAAATGAACATCTTTGTGTTGACAACACGAAATTAAAGGATTATTTTCTAATGATGTTCGTTTCGTGGAATGGATTTCCATTCGTTAATATGGTTGATGAAAATGAATGAGCAATTCGCATTCCCATTTCCTAAAAATGAAGAAATAATGAGGGTTGGTTGGGTTATGAATTTAGTTTCCAGTTTTAATTTCCAAGGGTCGTTTACTATTTTACATTTTTTATACCCAAAAACAAAGGAAAGACTGAATTGAAGTTAGGCATAATTATAAGAAATTATGGAACATAATTAACAGAAAAATCCCACCAGGATACTACATATGCATTATTTGTGTAGTCGGTTTCACTGTAAGTTTAGGGTTTTTGAATTGAAGATAAAGATGAGTGGAGAGGAAGAAGAAAAAATAAAAGAATTAATTCTATTAAATGATAATAAGTATGGAGTTTTATTCTTTTTAATAATTTGAAATTCAAAAAATTCCAGTCTTCAATGACGAGATTTTCTTCGCTGAAACTCTTTAACAAGGAATTTCGTTTCCTTGCAGCCTTCTCCTGAAATATGTTCCTTGGGAAATCATCTTTTAGTGAGGACTATTTCCTCGCTAAATCTTAATTTACAATGAAGAATATTTCCTTGTTACGGCGAGAAAATATTCCTTGGTAAATAGAGTTTTTACCGAGGAAATATTCATTGCTAAATATTAGTTTTTATCAAGAAAATATTTCTTACTTAATAATTGTTCTTACTAAGGAAATATTCCTTGTTAGGTTGCCGTTTGTTTTATTATTTTCCCTATTCAATTCTTATACTATTCAAAATACATATTTGTTTCTCTATTATCAAAATCCAATCATATTCTATTTAACTTTAAACCCCCTAGGTTTGTTAATTTAGTTAAACACCCCCTTCAATAAAACATTAAAAATTAACAAAAACACCTCAACCAGCCATTAAATGTTGGCCACCACCGTCAGAGAGTGACCGGAAGTTGCCGTAATAGCATATGATCGGCTGGATCTGATCGGTCATGCGTCGATTTGATCTTTTTGGGCCAAATCCACCATAGATTTAGTCGAAAAATGTCAAATATAAGACCAAAGTTCTGACCGTTGATAACCAGATCTTTGACTACATCTAGTCGTCAATGACGGTCAAGATATGGTTGTCATTGACCGTCAATGACAGTTAAGATATGACTGTTGTTAACAACCAGATGTGGTCAGATCTGGCCTTTTCCAACTAGATCCATGGTGGATTTTGCTGAAAAAGGCCATATCGGCTCACGATCGGCTAGATCCAGTTAGTCGTACTCCATTATGGCAACTTTCAGCCACCCTCCGACGGTGGTGGCCAGCTAACGACATTTAATGGGTAGGTGGAAGTGTTTTTGTTCATTTTCAATATTTTATTGTAGGGGATGTTTTCTAAATTAAAAAACTTAGGGGGTACTTTTAATTTTCAAATCCTACCTAGTAATAACAACCCAACTCAACTTTTTCAAAAATACTACTCAACTTTTCCTCACTAAGTAGTAGCCATTGCCAAGTAAATATCTCTAACCAAATAATAGTTTCTACCAAGGAAACATTCCTCACCTAATAGTAGCCTTTATTCTTGGCAAAATAGTTAATGATATTCATTAGTGAGAAAATTTTGTTACTAAAATACATTTTCCTTTCTCATTAAACATATATATTTTTTAGCTAGGAAAATTTCTTCTATAAATAACATATCAAATATTGTTTTTTAGCAAGGAAAATTCCTCACTAATTGTTATTCTAGTTTACTATATTCTTTAGGGAGGAAATCCTCGGTAAATCTATATATTCTTTGGTGAGAATATTTTCCTCACTAAATGTCATTCTTGTTCTTTTTACCGAAGCCACCGCATGTCAAATATAGTTTTTTAACAAAGAAATTTTTTTTCGCTGGTTGTCATACAAGTTCCGCATTATATTGTACGATCAATGAATATAAACGTTTCAAATAATCTTTCATCTTGTTTTTATCAACAATAATATATGTTCATTAAACATACGTTTACTCAAAATAAAATAAGGGTGTGTTTGATTCAAGGAAAGTTGTATTACTGAGAATGTTATACTAATGAAAAGATAGATTAACTTGATAATTATTAAAAATGTTTAGGGAAATGTGTTTGATTGGTTGGAATAATTAGTTGATATGTTATATTAATATGTTTGGTTGAGAGGAATAAATTTGTCGGTATTTTATGTAATTTACTAAATTACCCCATTTTTTAAATATTAATATAATATTGTTTTTATTATTGTTTTTTGAATTTAACCCCTTATATTTCAGATTTAGCTAAAACACCTCAGTAATAAAAAATGTTTAAAACTTAACAAAAACATCCCCACCCACCCCAAGCCACTATCAACGGCCTACCACCATTGTCGGTGACGGCGGAAGTGGCCGTAACGGAGCACGACTGGTCCGATATGGCCATTTCTAGCCAGAATGATGGATTTGGCCAAAAATAGCCAGATCTACAGCCAGAATTCTGGTTGACGCTTGTATTCGTCCTGGCCTTTTATTCGGTGTGGAAATTCGCATCAACACTTGATAAAGGAAAAATATGTTAATAATCCTATATGCACATGTGTCTTTATAAAAAGGTTAGAATCTGGTTTTGCTATTGTGGTAGTGTCTATGTCGATGACACGAACATAATTGGAACACTTGAAAAGCTCACAAAGGCCGTTGAGTATTTAAAAAAAGAATTTAAAATTAAGAATGTAGGGAAAACAAATATTGTCTAGGTTTGAAAATTGAGCATTATTCAAATGGAATACTAGTTCATTAGTCAAACTATACTAAATATATTCTAAAACACTTTAATATAGATAAGGCTTATCCCTTGAGTACCCCAATGGTGGTTTCGTCTTTTGATCCTTTAAAATGAAAAATCTAAGGAAAACAAAATATTGTTTAGGTTTGCAGATTGAGAATTACTCAAATGGAATATTGGTTCATCAATCAAACTATACTAGATGTATACTAAAACGCTTTAATATAGATAAGGCTTAACCCTTGAGTACCCCAATGGTATTTTTGTCTCTTGATCCTAAAATGATTCATTTTGTCATAAGGAAAATGATGAAAATATATTTGTTCATGAAGTACCATATTTTAATGCAGTACGTGTGTTATTATACTTGGCACAATGCACCAAATCGGACATAATATTTGCGGTAAATCTGTTGGCAATATTTAACACTACACCAACTCGCTGATATTGGAATGTGATAAAACATGTCTTTTATTACCTTAATAGAACAAAATACTTAGGATTATTTTATCCATCAAATTTTATTCTTAATCCTAAATTAGTTGTCTATGTATATGTTGAGTACCTTTCTAGTACCTACAAAGATCGCTAGCTCGTAGAAAGGATATGTTTTTACCTACAATTGCAAAAGAATATTGTGGCGATCTACAAAGCAAACATTGGTTGCTATTTCTTCCAATCATTGTGAGATTCTTGTGTTTCATGAAACAAGTCGAGAATGCGTCTGGTTAAGATTTTTTCATACATCATATCAAGAGTACATGCAGGTGAAAGAAAACCATGAAGAGGTGGCGGAAAATGTTGATTGAAAGCATGTAAAGAGTTGGATTAATAGGATTAAAAAAAAATTCAAATAAAGCTTGAAAAACATTATACCTTCTCCTTTGCTTAAGTTTAATGAAGCCAAGATTCAAAAGGATGAATCCTCCACACTTTAATACCACCTTGAGAGTAGAGATGGCAATGGGCTCAATATTTCTAGGTACCCGGTGTGGCCCGGCCCAAAAAGGTTAGGCTTTACCCGATGTTCGTGGGCTTGGGCTTGGGCTTGGGCCTGGGCCTGGGCCTGATTTTAAGGCCCGACCTCGGGTACGAGCCGAGCCTAGGTATGTCTTCAGGCTCGGCTCGGCCCGGCCTAGCCTGACAATTTTAGTATTAGTTATACTAAATTACCCTTATACTATATATTTAATTATAAGATTATCCTAAATATATATACTCATTTTTCCCAAACCCTACATGGATGGATGGATGCACTTTGTGGAAAGTTATTTATATATTTGATGAGT